TGCAAACCTTAAAAAGAACAGCTATAACAATGGTTGAATACAATAGGCCACATGGCAGTGAATTGCTTCTTTTTCGGTTATTCATAAAGTTGTGGATTTTGCTGGTTAATAGCAACATGCGATAGGGTTTTATTTTAATGCATTCTTTTTCTTATCATTTTTTTTACATTAATTTGTAGAGATCACGTGGACACTATGTATAGTTTCATGTTGTAAGTACCTACTTTGTTCAAGGTCACCGTACCCTGTTTTTTTTTATTCATTGTCTCTGAAACTATTAACTAACAACATTAAACATAATATATATGAGTAAATAGAAACAAAAATATGTATATGTTACATTTATTAGTACTTTACTGGATCTACTGTTATTTTCTTAATATTCACTGTACTTACGAAATTAATACTATAGTTACCTTTAAATTATGAAGCAAGTAACTAGCTTTGGATAATTACAATTGAAATATGAATTTTAAACAATTATTATATGAGGATTTCATACTGAGTCGTTATAAGAGCAATCGAGTCAAGTCTGCGATCAAACATCGATATTTGAGGTGTTGTTACACTTTACAATAATTTACTGTTAATAAAATAAGTAATTGTATAACGATTACTATGATTACAGTATATGTACATACAAATATTATCGTTGTCTGACTCATTTAAAAGTCTTGACCTTAATGCGTATATAAATATCAAATGTCACGTTATTTGATGCGTTTGCGCACTCGATTAATACCAATTGCACTTGTAATATTCAATAACAGGGTGGCGGAGGGGAGGCTACTGTTATTAATAAGCCCCATTACTAAGGTGGATCTCAACGCGGTTCCTTCTAGAAACCATCGTGTTGGCTTCCTTGTGATTTCATCACGATTAGTTATATCAATCTAACCTCATTCTAATGTTATCATGCTCAATTGGTGATCTACCAGCGTGTAGATACTGTTAGCGCCCACATAATACAATAAAATATAGTAAATCCTATAAGTATATTATAGTTACAAATATTATTTCGTTGATACTAAAATGCACAATATTTGTTAAAGTAAAATGTGGTTTTTAGTTTATCTTTATAAAACATTTATTTGACTTAAAATTTTTCTATTGTTATATAGTAGTTGCCGAGCGTTCATTAACCTTTTAATTAACCTGTAGGTACATGGTACAAAATTATACAAATTAAATGCACATAATTTCTTTGGAAATAGTAATGAATTTTGCATTGGCTTTTAGTGTTATTTGTTTTTTTAAGCAGTCTTTACGTACTGAAACTGTGTGAGTACAATTAATTTAAATATTTCTTTTAATTTTATAATAATGTGGGTATATAATACAATTGATAAGTATGTATTGGTAACGGTTTTTGCTAAACAATTGAAGGTTAACTATTGTACCTATTGTTTTGTTTTTATTACTATGATTCATTTACCTTTGTAATGTATGGTAGAAGTACACATACAAATTGTTTTTAGTTCTGTAGTTTATTTGTTAATGTAATAGTATCAAATGCATCTTAGATGCGATATATTCTACATGTTGGAATTATAATTACATATATGTATACTATACTAAATATCTCTCATGTGTTATATAATTACAAAAGAATGAGAGATTGGAAAATTTAATAGGAATTACAAATATATGGTTACTTGTTAGTAACAAAAGGGCATGCTGTTTCCTTCTATGTATGTTTCCTTATTATACTGAAATATAAGAACTATTGTTAGATGTATAAATAAATAAAATAATGTTTACAATCAATACCTTTCCATATTATTAAATTGGAAGGAAATAGTAAATATATTTTATTAGTTGAAATTTTACTGCACGCGATTTCGTTGATGTCTTTTGTATTGAAACTCTCTGTGCGAAGGAGTTGTAACGAATGTTATTATTTTTATTTAATTTTATAATGATTGACCTCGGTGTGAATAGTTCAGCACAGGGCTTAATTTCTATACTCCCGGGATAGGCTGTTGTCCTGGGTTATCATAGCTTTATATTTTTTTATACGAAAAAGTCATATGTCATGTAAACGAGGTAAAGTTATTAATGTATAAAAAATATAATCCAATAATTCTATGAATTCTTATACTCTACAGTTTTATTTATTATAACTTAAGGTATTTAATAACCATGTATTAGTCTCGTCCCCTATTTTTAAACATCACCCCGCATGTTATGAAGTTCCGACCTTCGTGTCGCCCTTTTGCACAGGTGAAAAAACACCTGTAATTGGTGTTCACTTTTTGCTATTTTTATGACCTTTATTTCTATTTTGGTACCCTTTATAATAAACGATCGACATACGGGTTAACGGTAAACTTATTTGTTGTTAACCATGTAACTAGTAATTTATTCCGACAATGTGTTCTGTGTTCAATAATTATTTTTTAAATTACCAGGATGTTCTGTCAACACTTTTATTTATCAAGTAAAAAAATATTACGCACTATGAGCTAAATGTTAATCGTTGTTAATAATCTTGTGTAATATTATTAACAAGTAGGATTATCTATACATATTATAAAACAAAGTTTCACGTCAAGTCTGTTTACAATAATGTAATTTTTACAATAATATAAAAAAACTACTGAAGGGATTTACATGCAGTTTTTATAAATCAACAGAGTGATTACTGAAGAAGGTTTATGTCATTATTTAAGTTTTTTTGTAAATTATTCAATTGTGTTTATGTGGCCTAAATGTAGGATTATATCATATTAAAGATTGTAGTTTATGTATTTTTGGTATCTAAAGAAAAGTAATACAATATAATATCCTAAAAATATTACGTACTATTATTACATTGCTTCCAGTACTTATGTACATTTAATGTAATAATAATATGTAATATTCAACAAGAATTGACATTAATGGAAAATATACTAAATGAATTGATATTATGTTTCGAATACATGTAATTTGTATAATATTATGTTCTGTCAAATAGAAATATTTAATTTTAATGTAATATCGAGGGTAGATATTTAAGTATACCGTAAGTAACATACGAAAACATCGTAGTGATACGAAGTGTTCGATACATTACTGATTTGATTTGTCTGATATCCTATATATGACCTTGACAAACAATTACAGTATAGTAATGATGATGTGATCAGTTTTAAAGAAATCGACATAGAGAACACATTTATGCAAATCTAAATGGCGACGTTAATTATATTGAAATGGCGGCAGAGATCGCGGTGACTAACCTAAATACAAAGCGATGCGATGACCGGAAGCCGCGCCATTGTGCCGCAACCATTGACACCTACCATATCATCCGGTTAATTCCTATCGCGTTCATCACACTTCATTCGCATGTAATAAAACTTATAACAATGTATAAGAAAACAGAGATGTTTTCAGAAGTTCATGAAATGCAATAATTCGGATACAGACCTCAAGCTAGCGTAACAGTTAACAGTGTAATTTGTAAATTTGTACCAAATGAAATTACAAGATGTAATAATATATGTATAACAAGTATCAATAAACATCAATACAATTTATTCAAAGGATGTATTCCTTAATGTTAAAAACTAAGTAAAAAAGCATTTCTGTTCCTTAAGGAACAGAAAGAGAGAGAGATGTACCGAGATGACACAAAGAAAAGAATTTTTGGATTTTTATAATAATCAATGCCAATGAAGTTTAACTTTTCTCTATTAGGTTTTACATCGTCTACCCTTTTTTCACGCAGCGATTCAATAGAGTAAAAATTATATCTAAAGGATCATGGCATGCAAACTATAATATCTACTTAACTCATTTTTAACTATATACTACGTTATGTTTGCAAAAAACATAGTTCCTTCGATCAAATTTATAATAAAAAAACCTAGTGACATATTTTCACGTCCACGTATTCTCATTCTGTTGTTCTAGGTCAGATCATGTAATATTTGGCCATAACTATGTAGTGTCATACCTATTTATTTGACTATAGGGCACCGACAGTGGATAAGTACTTCCATTGATATTAATCCTTAGGCAAAGCAACATACACCAGAAAGCAAAACCTAGTCAACGTAATAATTCTAATCGGTTTCGGAGGAGAGACCGATTTAATGTAGGTATATCAAAATATGACATTAATAGGCCTTTACTACGATAACATTTTAAAAATGTTAACATCCCAATGCTAAAATATATTTTTTTATTAAATAGATACAAGAAGCTAATTTGGGTAAATATAATTAATACTTTTAAGAAAAAATAAATTGAAGCTAAACGTACAGTCAAAATTTTTAGCATGTTAATGAGAGTAAACATTTCGTGGTAAATCGCAAAAACACGACAGTTATATCAGTGATTCACGCTTGGTAGGTAACTACCTGCTCACTGGGACCGTTAAAACGTAAAATGACGGTCAAATACAAGGCGTTTTCATTGTTATTATTAAGTATGTGTAAATTAAAGATAATTTAAAGATAGATAACAATAGTATACTAAATTGTAGTACCAGAAAAGCTGTAACAAAGGTTCAAAGAATCCAGGAAATCGTTAAAGCAACAATTATAGTTGAGATTTTTACAGAATCTACCCAAGAATATCTTTTAATAAAAGCTGCGACAGATTAGGATCAAGCAAGTCACACAAATGATCTCAGGTAGAAGTTCGTTGGTGAAGCGTAGCCGAGAACAGGATTCTGTTCAAGTGCGAGCCGAGTATGTTTTTTTTTTGGGCAAGCAAGTGGCCGTTATGGAGGAACTAAAAAAAGTATCGCTCGATTTGGCGAAACATATGGAGGAAAAGATGTATCTACCAATGACGATATAGCGAACATCAATACCGGCTTAATTGTAAGAATTAATTGAATAATGAATCTTAGAGATTAGAGCCCATAGTTTAATAAGTTATTAAATATAGATTCAGGTAAATTAATGTTTCCTTTTGATAAGAAGTAATTGATGGTGGAAGTTAAGATAGGTATTTTAAAAGGTGATCGGAAGTATTGTTAAAATATTAATATTGTAAGAACTCACCAACGCAGTCCTTGTCTTTTTTGGAGAGAAGCGGTATAGGGCCATCGTCAAGAGGTGAGCCGGGGCATAAGGGGTCCGCTTTACTAGATAGAAGCTCCTGCCCTTCCTGCAACCCCAGTTGCTGCTCATGCAGCCGCTTCTTAATCAAGAAGATCTTCGGCATCTTTGGGCGTTATTGTACACTGCACTCGATCCTTCTGTTCGTATGTGTCACTGTCTTTTAAAACTCACAAGTCAGCATCATATCACACTTCACGGCAAGTTTCCTCGCGTTGTTAATGTTTATTTGGTACGTATTAGGTAGCGGCACATTCAATACCGTTGGCCGCTGCGAAAGGACTGAGAGCTAGCGTGCGGTGCCTGCGACACCGTTGCCTGAACAGGTCCGCCCCCGCCCGCGCCGGCGCCGCCGCCGGCCCCGTGCGCCCGCGCACCGACCACCGGCACCTCCGCACCACCGCACCACCACACCACCGCACCGTCATACCACACTTACACAAATACGCATTCCAGTACGTATTTCCAGTAAAAGTGCTGATTCGTGTATGGATGTTGCCTATCTTCCTTCATCATTCTATCTAACAATGCCTTTCTGAGTTTCATCTCATGCAGAGTAATTACAAGTACGTTACTTATATTTACTGTTATTTATATCGGTCGATTTTTTTTCTTATATAAATAAACACATGTGTTAAATCGATATTTTAACTGAAACTGTCATTATATTATTTGAAATTAAAACAATTTCAGTGTCACGGCATTGTACCTATTCTGAGAAAGATTTAAAATCTGTGTCAGTCGAATCATCATAATGAATCATGCTGAAAGCTCAAGGATCGACAATAAAACTGTTATTGACAATAACATATTTGGAAAATACAGTTAATTTAATTTTGCATAACTTTATATAAGACGATGAGTATAACATAGTCATCGTTGTAAAGTGATATAATTTTGCTTATTATTAGGCATTATAGTTAGATGAAGAATATTTTATAATTTTTTTTAACTTTATATACATGCAAATTGTTTAATATATAAAACAAATTAGGCAAGTATCTCACAGTATTTGCTGTCGGCAGCTTTTACATTTAAATAATGTAAAATAATAGGACCTTTACATACAGTAATCTCTAAAAGGACGGACAGGGATTTACAAACGCCAGTAATAAAACAACACCAATAAACTTTACAGTCTCCTTTGTGATGAAATTAAAATCTTTTTGTTCAGTTCATTGCAGAAGAACTGTCGGCATCTTTAGTCATAGATCAATGAGTATAGATAAGTTCCTGTGACGCCATCCTTTCAAACATGGTTATTTCAGTTACATCTTTGTTAAAGTTTTATTAACGCAAATGTTGAACAAATTATATTTTCCTTAACTTCCACATTAGCATTTTTAATATTAAACAAGCTGGTTCGGTTCGGTTCGACTTCGTCTGCGCAAGATTAGTAGTTCGAATAGCTTATTTTCTTCTTTAAAAATCCTATCTATCTTTATATAAAAGTTTTCCCGGCAGAATATTTGCTTATTAACTTATATTATATAATGATTATATTATGGACAATTCACACAAATATTTTATTTATTATTATAGCCTATGTGTTATTCTAATATATAAGGTAAAGTTTTATTAAAATGTATTCAGTAGCTTTTGTCTAAAAGATTAACAAATACAAATTTTTGCGTTAATGATACTAGTATTATTTAGTATGTCAATAATTTCTATATCACTAATTTTTTTCCTTTAATTAAATTATGTCAAGTTAATTCAACACCAGAAAGAAATTTGCCCATGTAAGAATAGAAAATTTATTCTTAACGGCCAATTACTATCGGGCATACTTAGAAGCCGAAATATTTAAAGAACATTAACCGAGTTGAAACTAACTGAGGCTTTAAAAATGGCACTAAAAATAAACACCTCAAATAGGTAATTTTACAATAAGAATAACAGCAGTCATCCTTAACATTATTAATCGATGACCGTAGGTCATACACCTAAGGTGTGAACACTTACATGCTTCACTTTATACTATTTAAGTTATAACAATTATGCCCTCTATTTGTCAAAGTGAATAAGAATTGGAAGGAAGTCCTTGTAGTCAATTTCTTTGAAGTTTCGGCGACTTATTGGAAATATATATTAAGTACACACAAAATTAACTTCCTATCGTGTAACCACATCCGGTACTATGTAGTATAGTATATTTGCCGGATATAGAAACTTATCTAAAATATTAATATTGTTTGCATTTACATCTTCTATAACTGCGTTTAGACGTAAAAAGATAATAATTCGGGCATAAAATTTGTTTGCATGTCACAATAAGTATCCTGAAGTTCTTTCCAGAAAAAAGGGATTACGATGTCCGAGATACGTACTGTTAAGCTCGATCCCGAGAAAACGGTTTTATGTCTTTTTTTTGTCGGTACTAGGACTAAATATGTTAAAAGGAGATGCATCTACGGAATCAAGTACAAAAACGTTCTTTTAGAAAAACTATCAATTGTTTCTGTATTTAAGAAGATATGTTTACAAAAACTTGTGTAGGTACGGATTAGAGGAACAGTTACTTGGAAGTTTAAGCACAGAATATATAATAGTACGGGTTTAAGACAAAAGCATTGCTACATTGTTCACCTTTTTAAATTAGCTTTAGGTACCCACGTACTGTTTTATCTTATCAGTAACTTCATGTAGATTTCTATCAGGAAAAGAAATTGAAACGTTTATTGTGGCTACTTTAGTTAAAATATAATTGTTGGTATTATGATATTGTATATTTAAATTTAAATTAATATTATAAGTGCTTTGATGTAATATCTAAGCATATATACTCGTATGTGCAGAGTGATCTCCAGAACTGTATTTAAAAATAATCACACCATACTTATTTGTTTTAATATCTGTTATTTTCCTTTGCTTAATTAATTTATCCGAATTTATGTTAATATAATAATAATTTATATAATTTATTAAGCCGGTTTCAGACTGTTCCTTATCTAAAAAATATTATATATGTAATTATATTAATTAAGTATTAGTACAGATGAGACAATATTACATATTATTAGAGACTTTAGTATATAATTTATTATTTATTTATTAATTGCCGTACTGAGTAAAAACATTTATGTAATGCTATATTTAAGTAATTATTGAAGTCTTAAGTAAGAGTTACATATTCATAAATATTAGTATTTAAGTTTTCTTTTTTACTCTGTACTCTTTTTTATGCTGAATAAATGATTATTATTATTATAAACTCAAATTCGTCTAGGAAGGTTTTAATTTATATTGATTTGTATAAATAATAACTATATGTCTGTTAATGTGTAAGTATAGGAGACGATTGTTACTTTCCATTTGGTAGTATGTTTATTTGTTTGTCATTATACTATGCAAGAGAAATAAAAAATTGCGATATTGAAGTAGCTTTAAAAGCTATAAATCATTTTTATTAAAAACACACCTAACGAGTCCATAAAGTGCGAAGATGTTGTTTTGTTGAGACAAACAAAGCAAAAATGCAACGTGCTACCGAAATTGTTGTTTAACTTTTTTTAGTTTGGACATAAATTGGAAAATAAATTTTGCCGGAACAATGTTTTATGTTTTTTGCATTCAGTTCATTTTAGACGTAGTTATTTGATAAAATAGCTGATTATATATTCTGACTTACTGTTATTGTAAAGTTAAAGACAAAATATTTTTTTAATATAGGACTATTTTGTCACCTCTGACATGTAATTTTCAATCACCATCCTTACCGTTCAGATAGGCTTGCTGTTTTGCTTATGAAGGACTGCTAAGAATTAGACAATATTTTTTTAAAACCAGTTTAGGAATTTTTATTTTACGAACCTAATTTTATATAATAATGAATTAACTACAAATCCATTTACAATTAGTTTCTATCATCACTCTACCAATAAAGAATATAGAATCTGTAACTTTATCTCTTACAGCAACTTGTTATATTTTTAAATTCTTATTATGGATTATAATCCTAAAAATACATTATTTAGATTATGTGAGTTACAGTTAATCATATATAGATTATAATATTTATAATGACAGACACAAACGCATCTGCAACAAATATATGACACCTGTAGTCGTTCATTTAAATTCCTCTTGTATAACATCAAGTACCTATGGGTATAATGGTATGGGCATAATTTTGAGAATCAATCAAAAATTTTGTTATGAAGGACAACATTTCATACTATTTTCATTGGGTACTTTGGATTTACTATAACGGATGTTGTAGACTAACCTTTGTCTGTTTGCAATTAAGAGTTTATTTATGGCATTACGCAGCGACTGATATAACTAAAGTCTTACTTAGTAAGTAATGAAACTTTGTCAAATTTGTCTTGCTCATTATATTTAATATTATGTTTATCTGTTTCTTGGAATTTTTCTAATTAATTTTATATCTCCTCATTTATGATTCAACATAATCACTCTAAACTCTACTTTTGGATGTCAGTACAAATTCACTTTTTTAGTACCAGTGTTCCTGAGTCACCTTCATTGCATTGTCGGTACCAACATATTATTTTTTTAATAAAAATAGTACAACTTTATACATATATAATATGTACAATAATATTATGAAGAAAACAACATAATACATATAAAATTATCATATATTCACCACTGTGTGTGTGTTATATCTTATTAGTGTCACAACTTAGGCTCTACCTCCTCTCCTTATGTGTACACATGTATCTGGAAATATTTTAGTTTTATAGAATCCTCACTTACAAAAAAATTACATTAGGTTAGCGACACACAGGTAGACTGGTATTAACATTTTCATTATATAGACATCATTGAAGCGGTGTTTGTGTGTCGATTGCGCAACGATCGCTTGCGCTTGCGCCGCTGTCGGTGTGCCGGTTCCATGCCGTCGACTCAACACAAGTTCTCGGCAACGCTAACCTCCTTCAAGTTCAGTCATTCTGACACTGACCATTATTGGTTACAGAATTGGCTCTGATATTTTTAGCATTCATATTGTATTTTTGGAACGGACTGTGGCAGTATATGATGTATAATATATGCATATATTAAAGTAGAACAATTTAAACTTGACAGAAATTTGTCGTACTTTATATAATTTTTGTATTGACAATAAGAGGTTTAAATTTAAAAAAGCTACAGCAAATTCTGCATACATAGAAAAAATATAACGTCTAACATATAACAAAATGCAATGTGCTTAATGATCTTGTTTCTTTGAAGTAGATAATAATAACAATAACTACAGACAATTCATATAGCGTCACCTAGGCCCAAACTCAGCAGAGGTTGTATTATGAATAACATCTGTTAGAAATACCTATTTTCTTT